TTGGGAGTTTATTTTAGGATTCCGTTGCAGAGTTTTCTGCAGAGAATCTCCACACCCTAGCAAATAAAACAGACGAACTTCTACTCCTCACCAGCACAAACAATGACTTTTTAAACTCTGCTGCGCTTTGCTTCACGGAAACCTGGTTGAACGGAGCTATCCCGGACAGCGCGTTTCATCTAACAGGCTTCCAGCTGTTCAGAGCAGATTGCGTCACCGAGTCGTCGGGGAAAACGAGAGGTGGTGGATTATGTTTTTATATCAACGAAGGCTGGTGTACAGATGTTACAGTTTTAGAGAAGATGTGTGCTGCCCAAATTTGGAAGCTTTCTTTATTAACTGTAAGCCTTTTTATTCGCTGCTGGAGTTTTCTTCGTTTATTCTGGTGAGTGCATACATTCCTCCTGAATCCTGATGCGTGTGTGAGCGCGGCACTAGAACAGCTGGCTGATCAGATCACACACACAGAGCAGCGTTACCCGTACTCTTTCATTATCCTTCTCGGTGATTTTAATAAAGCTAATCTTATCTGCGAACTGCCTAAATACAGACAGCACATCACATGCCCACCAGGGAAAACAATATACTGGACCATTGCTACACCGTTTTAAAGGATGCATACAACTCTGTCCCCCAAGCGGCACTGGGACTCTGGGATCATCTGTTGGTTCATCTTCTACAAGCCTACAAGCAGCAACTTAAATCTGCGAAGCCTGTAGTAAGAACTGTAAAGAGATGAACTAATGAAGCAGAGCGGGATTTACAAGCCTGCTTCGACTGCAATGATAGGAGTGTTTTTGAGGCTGCAGCCACTGATCTGGATGAGCTCACAGACACCATGACATCCTACATCAGTTTCTGTGAGGACATGTGTGTTCCCACCAGGACCTATTTAACCCAACTTAAATCTGCGAAGCCTGTAGTAAGAACTGTAAAGAGATGAACTAATGAAGCAGAGCGGGATTTACAAGCCTGCTTCGACTGCAATGATAGGAGTGTTTTTGAGGCTGCAGCCACTGATCTGGATGAGCTCACAGACACCATGACATCCTACATCAGTTTCTGTGAGGACATGTGTGTTCCCACCAGGACCTATTTAACCTATAACAACGACAGACCTTGGTTCAGTGCAAAACTCAAACAGCTTTTCCAGGCCAAAGAGGATGCCTACAGGAGTGGGGACAAAGCCTTGTACAAACAGGCCAAGTACACACTGAATAGGGCGATAAGAATAGCTAAGAGATGCTTCTCTGAAAAGCTAAAAAAAAACGTTTTCAAGCAAAGACCCTACATTAGTGTGGAAGGGCCTGAAAACCATCACCAGCTACAAGACCCATCCCCCAGCACTGTGGAGAATCCACTTTTAGCCAATGGTTTGAATTAGTTTTATTGCAGGTTTGAAAAGCCTGGTCTCACACCCCACACCTGCTCTGACCGTCCCACAACACAGCCATCAACACCCTCCCCTTCCCTCCCTCCTACTGCTTCTCAGCCTGCACTTAAGATCTGTGAAGATGATGAACGCAAAGTCTTCAGGGAGCAGAAGATAAGGAAAGCCAAAGGTCCAGATGGTGTTTCTCCAGCCTGCCTCAAAGCCTGTGCTGTCCAGCTGTCATCCATCTTCACACTGGTCTTCAACAGATGACTGGATCTGTGTGAAGTCTCCTCCTTCTTCAAATGCTCCACCATAATTTCTGTACCCAAGAAACCAAAAATCACGAGACTAAATTACTACAGACCTGTTGCTTTAATGTCTGTGGTCATGAAGACATTTGAGAGACTGATGTTGGCCTACTTGAAGGACATTACTGGACTGCCTGCAGTTTGCTAACTGAGCAAACAGGTCTGTGGATGATGCAATTAACATGGGACTGCACTACATCCTCCAACATCTGGACAAACCAGGGACTTATGCAAGGATCCTGTTTGTGGACTTCAGCTTCGCTTTCAACACCATCATCCCGGATACCCTTCTGATTAAACTGACACAGCTCTCTGTACCCACCTCCATCTGTCAGTGTATCATCAGTTTCCTGACAGACAGGCAGCAGCTAGTGAGGCTGGGGAAACTCACATCCAACACCTGCACCATTAGCACTGGAGCTCCTCAGGGGTGTGTGCTCTCCTCTCCCTCTACACAAATGACTGCACCTCTAAAGACCCCTCTGTCAAACTCCTGAAGTTTGCAGACGACACTACAGTCATCGGTCTCATCCAGGATGGAGACGAGTCTGCTTACAGACAAGAGGTTGAGCAGCTGGCTGTCTGGTGCCGTCACAACAACTTGGAGCTGAACACGCTCAAAACTGTGGAGATGATTGTGGACTTTAGGAGAAACCCCCCTGCACTCCATTGACTCCATTGTGAAAAAGGCCAGGCAGAGGTTGTACTTCCTCTTCCCATCAACTGAAAAACCTTCCACAGGCACAGATGACACAGTTTTACTCAGCTGTGATTGAGTTGGTTCTGCGCACTTCTATAACTGTCTGGTTTGGGTCAGCCAGCAAATCAGATATAAGAAGACTGCAACGGACTGTTAGGACAGCTGAAAGGATAATTGGTAAGCACCTGCCCAACCTTCAGGACTTGTACAACTCCAGAGTGAAGAAACTGGCAGGTAACATCATCACAGTCCCCTCTCACCCCTGCCACCATCTGTAGGCAAACGTTGCAGGTATCTGTGAACTAGAACATCTAGGCATAAAAACATTTTTCTACCCATGCCATCTCCAGCTTAAAGAGCTAACAAAGAAATTACCACCTGTCTTCAAATACTTATGGCTATGCTAAGTATACACAATAGCATTTAAAAAAAATTATTTTGTGCATTTGTCACCCTGAAAATGGCAGGTCAAGTCAGGCATTTCCATTGTGGGATACATTTTTCATGCAGTGTAGACTGCTTTTATACTGGTATTTGTTGCATTTTTTGCATACTACAAGATTAGTAAGGTAGTATGCCATTCTAAACATAACTATTGTTCCCTCTCTCTTCCTCTGTCTCGTCCTCTGCTTGAAAATGCCAAGGAGAAGATTAGCCTGTATGTTTGTTTTGCATTTGTTTAGTCAGTCCTCCAATCCTCCCTTCATCTGAACACAGGAGCCCTGCCTACCCATCGGCACTCACATTCACTCCCGCTTGCTGGAACTGTCCTGCATGATGGCTCCTTCTCTGTTCACATGCATGAATATTAATGCACCGCCCTGGCAAGCTTTGTATCAATGTTAACAGTGCTACAGCTGAAGTCACCTTTGTGCTGAAGGGCTCCATGATTAAAAGTAAGATCTTCATAGGCATTGCATCACATCACAGCCAGATATGAGTGCTGTCACAGAGCCATGCATAAAGACCCCTGGGTTCCCGTAGACACATAGTAAAATTGATGTATCTCTTATGTAGAATGTGGTATGCAGAGTACATCCACACATGCATATATACATCAGATTAATCTACGTAAGAGATGGGGGAGGGATGTAAACTAAACACTGCTGCCACCTCTTGTAGTGTCCCGGCCACCCCGTGACATCCGCCACAAGCAATTTATTAGCGGATGCTTCCGTCTGGGGTGGCGTTTGGGGGAGGGAGGAAAGGAAAACATCTAAAGGGAAAAAATAGTAATTCATTAGAGGGAGAGCTGCAGCCCAGAGGTGCTGGCTTTCATATTCAATTTGGAGATGGTGGCATGTTCACAGGGGGTGTGAAGAGAAGGGGCCAGTGCGTGTGCATGTGGATGGGGAGGGGTGTCTTGTTCACCCCAACCTCATCTATTATCTTCACGATCCTCCCTCTGGGAGCGCCCACAGGTCTATTGATCATGTCTTTAGAACTGTCACACACACACACACACACTCTGTTCACACGGCACCTCAAGGTTAGGCAAAATTTTTAATGTTGAATGATAGGAAGAGAAATTGCTGCAGAAATTCAGTAGTCTAACTTAGTTTTTTCCATTTATTTCCTGATATGCAGAATGAATTTTCTTGTAACCAATTAAAACAGATTTGAATCTACACAATATTGTTTTCAGATACTTTTATAAAACTAAATATTGATGTCAACATTTGAATCTATGATCATATAAAATATTAGGTAAATTAGAACATCATGGGAAATTCGGAGAAAAGTGCTCTTCTCCAGGTAATGTTAACCTGTCAACTCATAATTGATTAACGTGTCATTTGGGCTTTTCCCACTTAACACAGCGTTAAATTATTAATCTTTTTAAAATGGGTTAAAGCCTGTTTTAAGCCTAGGTTAAGAAAGGTTCTGACACTTCCGCTGGATTAGCAAGTGAATCTCATGAAAACATATATATATATATATATATGTATATATATAAATATATAAATTTTCATACATTATAATACATTTTAATATGAATATTATTGATGGTATGTTATTTATATTATGTATAAATTAAGCCTTTTAGGCTTTTGAAGTGTTAAATTATTTTTACAACAATCACATTTTCCCCATAAATTGCTGATTTAATGCATGCAGAGAATTTACTTTTGAGTTTTTTTTTTATTTCAGTTGTTCTCAATAATTGTTCTCGTTTGATTCTTATTACTTAAATTTTCCTGTATTAGAAACAAAAATCTTTTACTTAAACCAGAATAAATTAAAAGTTGTACAATAGTACCATGATGTATACAGTAAATAGTTTACAGTTTATATATATATATATATAATTGTTAATATATAATCATTTTTTGTTTTACTGTAATGAGGATGGGATATTTTTTTAAAAATAAGCTTAATTTCCTTAATGCAAAATAGAATTTCTACATTTATTGATTGATTGATTTTGAGTTTAAATATGACTTGAACATGTTCTTGATTTTATGTACATGATAACATGATTTCAGTTGTGAGAAGGGAAAGTTGTGATTTACTTGTTCATTGTCAAAACTCATCCTTTGATTTATGGTTGAACTCCTCTTTTGACTGTTTATGAAATTATGAAACTCCTAAAAGCTGTTTTTGTTATCCCACACAGGAGACCTTAGCGAGGACCCCTATTTCCCTAAGATTCAGTGGCCATCTCCGGAGTTGTGTCCTAGCTGTCATGGATTAAAAAAGACTGGTGAGCACCACTGGAACCAAGAGGAGGTGCTGACCTTCCTCCGAAACTACTTTTCCTCAGCTCACATTCTAATGGACTACCTGCAGGATGAGACCCAAGCTCTCATCCATCAGAGGAACCGACTCACGGCAGCTCGGATGGAGAAAGAAGCCAGACGTGGGGTGGAAAGGAGACCTCGAGAGGTTCTGGACAACCGCCCTGATGAAGAGCCTCAAGAAGAAGAAGAGCAGCAGGAGGAGGAGGAAGGGGAAGAACCAGCAATGGAGGAGCAGACTGGTGAGCCATACCCTGCGGGGTTAGAGAGAATGGGGGTGGCTGGAGCGGACAAGGCCAATTACCAGGCACCTTGGGAGAAGCCACAGCGGCCGCAGTCCCAACGCAAACCAAAAACTGTGGGAATGAAACTACAGGAGCCCCAAGAAAACATAGTAGACCTGGACTTATTTGTCAACCAACACTATAAAGCCAAAGCCCTCCGAGCTGCGGCCATGTCTGGCGTAGTGAGACAGAGGAGTCTGAAGAAGGAGGAGGATGTGGAAGACCTCCAGTTTGAGGGAGGCTGGAGGGTGAAGCGAGACCTGGGAAGCCAGGAGGAGAACCTTGGTTATAGAGGTAGAGGGATGGAGCCGTACCCCAGACCCCACAGCAAACGCTGGATGTCCCTGCTCAGCGTGGGATTCTCCAGGCTGGATGTGAGCCTGTGTGTCCTGCTGTACCTCCTCTCCACCATGTGTCTGCTCGCCATGTACCTGTATTTCAAACTGAGGTTAAAGCTGCGACGTGCTAAATTGTCTCTGCCCTAGAGCATCGCTCCAGTCCAAACTAATACTTTTTAGGAGGAATGACTAAATCTCACAATCTGTGGCTACTAGAGAAAACCGTAAGCTTCAGCGCCACAGTATGGATGCACAGAAATCGAGAGTTTATGAAGTACTGTTTTTAATTTCATGGTGATTAATGCCAAAGTGTTGTTTTACAGACCCTACACTTGTCCTTGAAGGGCTGCTTGTGGTCTGATTTTTTTTTTAACTCCTTCTGTAAGTTTATTTCTTTGAAGCATCTGGCGATGGAAAAATTATCATCATAATTGATGTCTTTTATTTGTTTATTTTACAAAAACGAATTTTTATATGACCACTCATCGAAGAATTCTTTTTAGTGCACATCATTTCTAAAAGCACCAATCATTTTATATAATTTTTTCAATCATAAAATTTAGATTTGAGAAATACTTTAACACAAAAACAAAGCATCTTTAACACGACCACTTTTAAGTAAAAGAATTAAAATACTTGAAATGCATTTTTTTTTTTTAAATTTGGACCCCAGTTAACTCTTACTGTGGTTGTTATAATGAAAATATACCCCTCATTGATAGAGCTACATCTTTATGTGTTTAATCCATTTTAAATTTCACTGTGATCTCACTGCCTGTCCATTCCCTGTGCCTTTTTGAGCAAATATTAGATTTTTTTCACAAAAATATTTTAAGATGTAAATTTGTACCGCGGAGCAACTCTATACAAGTACCTGAAACAATAAGAATTACAGACATTATAGTTTGCCCATTTGGTAAGCAAAAATTAACATTCATACTGAAGTGGAGTGCTTTGTTGGGTAAAATCTGATTAAAATTATTATTTTTTTAAAACCTCTTTCTTGTATTGTTTTTAAAACTCCAATTTGTTTTCTGGCATGGAATGAGATACATGACGTGTGCTTTTTATATGTCCAGTATCTTTAAAACCAATAGTTGGTGTGCGACCCAAACTAATCTGACTGTGACTGTCAATCAGTTGAGTAAACAAATACTGGAATACACTACACAACTTTTGTTCACATTTTTGGCCTGATTTACAGTCTGGAATCAACACTAGTTGTCTAAAGTCAGAGGCGGTCTGCAAATTTTGGCCAGTCGGAGTTGACAGAAAATTGCATAATTCATATTATGATTCTATCAATTTGGAGAATTTCAAACCAGAATTTTATTTTGATTTAATTTTAGAACACTTTGTTTTCTTTGGTTTCATCATGTATATGGTTCTGTTATTGTAGCTCATTTATACTCTGACCCCTGAATATTACATCTAGCCCTAAAACAGGAGCCAAACAGGTCAGATTAATCTAATTTTACTACCGTCATTCCTCCCCTTGTCCATAATACATATTTTGAGATGCAGCCCTCATTCCCAACTTTAATGTTGTCAGTCAGAATGGATGGAAGTTACTATTTGCACTTGAGGGACGTTTTTATTATTATAACTATATTAATAATTATTAATAATATTAAATGAAATTATTAATAATATTTATAAATAATATTATTTAAATTTGATATAAAATACATTTATTTTATTTATTTGTGTAAAATATGCATAAAATATATAAAAAGAGATTATTTTATATTTGTTTATATATAATATTCGCATTGTAAGGAAAAAGGGTTAATATATGGTTCTGTTATTGTAGCTCATTTATACTCTGACCCCTGAATGTTACATCTAGCCCTAAAACAGGAGCCAAACAGGTCAGATTAATCTAATTTTACTACCGTCATTCCTCCCCTTGTCCATAATACATATTTTGAGATGCAGCCCTCATTCCCAACTTTAATGTTGTCAGTCAGAATGGATGGAAGTTACTATTTGCACTTGAGGGAAGTTTTTATTATTATAACTATATTAATAATTATTAATAATATTAAATGAAATTATTAATAATATTTATAAATAATATTATTTAAATTTTATATAAAATACATTTATTTTATTTATTTGTGTAAAATATGCATAAAATATATAAAAAGAGATTATTTTATATTTGTTTATATATAATATTCGCATTGTATCTTATTTGTGTACTATACATATATAAGATGTAATCATTTTATTAATAATTTTATATGTACATATACAGTGGACAGCATAAATGAGTACACCCCCTCTGATTAAATATAAAAGATGTATTTTCTTAATGATCACTAATATAATTCATAGAAAGATGGCAAAATTGAAATGTATTAAACATATTCTTAATAAAAATAGACAAATACATGCCATTAATATCTGTAAAATAAGAAATTTAGCCAATTTTTGTTTAAATGAAGGATTGCAGAATTGAGTACAACCTAGATTTAATTCAACCAAGTGTAATATTCTATAACTTACTGACACTTCTTGGCACTGAGTGTACAAGTTCATGACAAATTTTCACATCTGTGCTGCTTAACTCCTGGGGGACGACCTCCTTAAATGCCCTGGTCTTTAATGGGGAGTGTTGCTCAGCTTGTCTCTACAGAATCTCTCACAGCAGCTCAAGAGTGTTAAGATTGAGTGAAATGCATGTCCACTGAAGGATTTTCAACTCAGGAGAATGAATATCTTCATTGTCATGTTAAAAAAAAGCCCAACAATGCAGGCATAGAGAATAGGGTAGCATCTTAAGTTTCAAGTTTTTGTATTACATCACACAGTGGTGTGTGAATTCATGACAGCGTTGATAAAGTACAACTCCCTCACACCTTCAGCACTCATTCATCCCTATAGAAGAGCTTTACTACCACTGAATGCCACTGTGGGAACCAGCCACTTCTCTCTGTACTCCTCCTCTAGCAACACTAGAACATTTTGGATGCTGTTAGATCCGAAATGATTGAATTGGTCTCATGAGACCAGAGTATGGATTCCCAGAAATCTTTTTTTTGTAAATATGGGCCTTGGAAAAAGCTAAATGAGTTTATTGTGCTTTGGCTACAGTCGGTAGTTCTGGTGTGGATAAACAACCATGCATGTCACTTCTGCA